GGGAGGAAGCGAGGAACATCGAGAGTGCGTTGGCTGATAGGGAGAGAGAGAGAGAGAGAGAGAGAGAGAGAAAGAGGGGGGGTGTAAAAGGACTGGAGACGGACCACCGTGATTGCAATTTTAACGCCAATTTGACTTGAATCTCCCCTGGACGAAAGAAATACTGTTTTCATGCTCAATATAGCGGCGCGGCAATAATTAACGGTCGCGACGTGGCACTTTGTCGTTTATGTGTACAGGGTGTCTCGGTCGTACTTACTCAGGAAGTCGTTGAACGCTACGGTTGTACACGTATACGAATTATAATAAATCATGCTGGATATTCAGAACGTAGTCGTCTCGGATACTCAAGAAAATTGATATTGTTGTATTGCTTGTGTTCTAGGTCTCCAAAGAAGAATGTAACCTGATCGAACAAGTGTCCCAATGAGTAATCCTTTTCGTGAAGGCTGAAATCTTTGCAAATTTTTAGCAAATATATCTTCCTCACCACAAAGTGGTCATTAGGGGTTTGTTAAGGTACTGCAAACATTTTCCCAGACACAGAATCGTTAAACAATGTTTCTCAACGAATTGTAAATTAGCCTCGAACTTACCAGACGGTTTGAATTTTTTTTCGACCTTTTCTATTCACAGAATAAACCTGATTCAGCCTCTATCCCGGGTAAAAGGTACAAAAGAAGGTTGATCGTTCGTTGTTTCCGGGCGATAAATCACGGGCGAAACATTACGAAAGCAATAGTGGCGAGCTGTGGAAGCGAAGTGATACACAGCGAAAAGGGCAAGCGAAACTCGGTGACACACCGAGTACGTGTACCGAGTAGAGGTCTTACGGAGCTAGCGGGTGGTCCTCATTATGTCTGCTTCCCCACCGCTCGGCCGTCCTATCTATTTAACGTATCGTTTGCCTTGGTAACCATCCAAATTGGCCCATCCCTGTCCTATGCGCGCTGTCAGCCGCATCTCCCGATCTCGTTCGTGTTCTCTTTAATTATTGGGAAGACGATGTTTAATAACCACCGCGGTTTCGTTCCCCCTCGTTCCCCCTCTTCCGTTTCCGCGGGGGGGTTGAGACTCTAATAGAAAACACTCGTTTCCTGCGACACCGTGTGTGACGTCCACGAGGGCCTCCTAATCACCGGGGACAAGTGTCGTCTCTTATATGTATAGAACCGATTAGCGACGGGACCGAGACCGAATTAATCACGACAACACGTGAAAAGTTCTATTCACTTTTTTAACCACCCTGTAGAAGGAATAGAATACTCCAAGGACAGTGAAAGCTCGCGGAATAATCGTGCACAATAGTCTACGCTCATTGATTTACTAATTCTAATAGAGTCATAAACGTCACGGGGAATAATTCAGGCAATGTTTTCATTGAATACCGAATAGAATGGCAAAAGGCAGTTCTATTAAAGACCTCTGAAATATTCATGTTCAACTCAAACCAGTGTGTTTATTACGTTGCTCTGACTGTCATTCAGAAAAATTCTCGCTTGAATTTTGTCAGATTTTTCGCGGTCAACGGAAAGCCACGATTTTTATCAGTTCGTGGAAACTATTTTCGTCATCATGACGCACGGACTATCATCGTCGAACTCGTATAAACCTTGACTCGACATTTCCTGGTCGCGAAAAGATTCCATTGGATCGGACGCGAATACTCGTTCCGATGGAACCTTGCGTGAACCGGGGCCGCTTCTCGCTGAAATCGAACCATTATATCGCGGCAATCAAAGCTTCGCGCTGGCTTATCTATTAGCGAATACAGAAGTCGATGGCCTGTAAAGCCTAATGGCTCTGCTAACGAAAGATAGCGAACTGCCTCGGTTTATAACCGCTTTACGAGCTTCTTTATTGCTATCGTGATTTCGATCGACCGACCAACAACACACCCTGCCGTTGCTGTATAGGAACACAGAATATTAACGGTACGGATCACGAACAATGCAATTCTAATAAACGTTCAAGCATAATAACGGCGCGAAACTTCACGATTGCATTCTTTTTTTTCCAAAGATTTCACACGGATTTTATGAACTTTCGCGTGCATACTACGCCAAAGTCGAAACCCACAGATGATGATCGAGTGTGTGGAGAAAAAAATTCAATAAGCCATAACGCGCTGTGATAACGTGCTCTCGAGGAAACCGATTTCCAAGGCACGAGGCAGGGGGCCGATGATCTGTCCACGGTGAAACTGTGTACAATTACCGTTTTAATCTTGCAGCTTCTAGCGCCATAAATTGCCACGGGGTTTTACATCGACACCGACAAAGGGAACGTGTGGAGGGTACCGTGGCGCGCGCGCGGGCGGGAGAGACGGCGCGGCTCAGGGAAGTTTCGCGCGATGAAATTTATTGCTGGAGCCAATTCCCGCGCAAATGGAAGAACGTCTATGAGGTTTTATTCCGTTCGGCGTTATCGACAGCTTCAATCGGGCCTCTACTACCCCCCGCTGGGTTTTGCTTTCGGTTATCGCCGAGTCGCCGCGTCCGCGCGGCACAATTAATTGCCGTCCCGCTTCGCCCAGACGAGAAAACGCTGGGACTGTTCGATTTAAGAAAAAAGTGCTTGGGTTCTTTTTCCAAAGCGATTTTTAACGACGGATTAGCTTACACAATTTTGTATATTCCGTAATATTTCTTGATAATGAAAAGCTGTTGGAACTGTGTTACTCGTAATGCGCCGGACGGTCGATATAAATATTGTTTAGATTAAGTATTGATTAGTTGATGTCGACTGTGAGTCGAGTACAGTTAGAATGACCTGGAGAGCGTATTGTTAGAATGCAGCCTCGAGAGTACTCGAAGGGAATTGATCGAAACTGGAGAAATTATAGTTACATGGATTCATTCATTTTAATCATTGTATGATAAGAGTGACCTGGTGAGGATGTAATTGTTACATCATCAAAATTTCAATAATTTTCATGGTACCCTTAATATCAGTAAGCTTTTTAAACAATAGGAGTTTAATTCTTGGATCCACTGTAAAGAAACACAAATGCACAAGGCTAAACAGTTCTCCAGTTAATTTCCACGAGACCTAGTAAAACACAGAGGTGTTCCAAAAGTCAGGAAACATTATCTAAACGGAGACACGTATACCCTACTAATTTGCAAGCGATACAAGTTCCACGGGCAACCGATACGGCCGCAGCTGCGATCTCGTCGCGCAACATGGAAGACAACAGGCCCGATGGAAACGAAACGGGAGAGGGGGAACGGGGCTTCCATCGATTTCAGCAAAGATATCGATCCCCTTTGCCGAGAGCGGATGAGGTGCCAGAGCGCGAGACGGCGGAAGTTCGCGCGATGAAATTTACGGCTGGAGCCAATTCCCGCGCAAATGGAAGAGCATCTATGAGGTTTTATTCGGCCTGGCCCCCACCCCCCTCACGTCCCTCTGGTTATCGGCATCCCCTATCGGCAGGCATTTGTTTTTGCTTATCGCGAGAGCTACGTCACCGGAGGAGGGGTGGACCACCGTAAATATGACGGACGGATGCGACGATGGGATCTCAGCGCCGTCAGAACAAACGAGCGTCCACGGACGCGGCCCGAAAATCTCGACGGCTCGATTTAGGGGGATGAACGACCGAGAGGGACGAGCCTCTGCGCGGAGAGTCGCGTTCGACCCCGAATCGATATTACCTGGCTGCGCGAACTAACGAAATCCATGGAGAAAAGGGCTCGAGAGAACTCTGTAACTTCACCTTTACGAATTTCTGCTTTCAACACCTACTCGGAGCTTTTGTTCATTTGTACTTTATACTCTTGTGAAAGATTCTTCAGATTTTAATTGAAATTCCGAGTCGTTACTTCCGTCGATTCGAGGAATATTCGGTTACCATCCAAAATCTGTACTAAACTACCCAATTTTTTGTCAATGAATTTGAATAGGTCAATCTCTCAGAATGAGGACGATCTGTTGTGTTTCTGCCTTTTGAGAATCAAGTTTGTCAAAGTTAAGAGATTCACTCGAGGCTTTCCAAAGTGTGATATTCGTGAGTTAAGGGTACATCGACCGTAAAGCTAGCGCAGCAAATGTTCAACGAGGCTGGATCAATAACGGTAGCGGATGATCGAAAATTCCCCTAGCGAGTCTGCATTTTTTGGGTCTTAATCACCGGCTCTAATTGGTCAATTACGCTCATTACCGTCTCCGATGTAAAGAAGCAAGTCGTACGATAAAATCTCTTTCCCCCCCCCTCCCAGATGTTCTCCCGAGTTGGTCTGCCGTGGCTGACTACCCCCACCAGGGATTCATCCATCGTGTAATCCCTGCCCTTCGTGCCTCCCCTGAAACGGTCGGGTCGCATTTGCAAGAGAGAAACTTGTGCCCCCCGCCTTCCCACCCCGGCAGGAAAAATCAGCGGCGTGTCTGTATAGTCGTTTGTAGACCGTGGAGGAAGCCTGGTCGTATGGGGGCGGAGCAATCCGGGCCATGCCCTGTTCAGCCGCTGCCAGGCATCCGCCCACTTTTGGATTTCCCCTTTCTCGAGCTTTCTCCCCCTCTCCGGCTTGATCGGTCTCTTTTCAAGCAACGGAGCCGTGGTCGTCCCCCTCCACCAGAACGGCGCCTCCACCCGCAAAACGAAAAAGTCGGAGCGCCGCAACCGGCGATGGTCAAAGTCAGTCCACACGGAGAGCTCGAGTCGAGTAGTGGCTAGTCTCAGGTCAGCTGTTCGGAGATCCATCGATCCGTCGATCCCCTCGGCACCTGTCAAACGCGCGACAGAACCCACACGGGCTAGTGACTCTTCGACCGTTCGAATCGTTCTTTTCGAAAATCAACCGTGTGTCGATTACACTGTGAGAGATCATCAGTGAGAGCGCAAATATATTGTCTACTCCGTATACACCTATTGTTAGAGACTATATCTCGTCGAATTCTCGGGACTATGAGACGCTAGAGAATCGAAAAGCTACGAGAACAGTGATACAGTGAAGAGCATATAGAGTTTACCGAAGGTGTCTAATCGCGGTGCGAGAATGACAGTAATAAGGATGACTTCCCCGGTGACGCCTCCATCGACCAGTCCAGGCTCAAACGAGGCTCAAGCGCCCCAGCCGACCTCGAAGCCGGCCCATCGATTGAGTTTCTCCGTCGCCGCGCTCCTAGCCGACACCAAGCGACCAGACTCCAGACAGGAGACGTCTTCCGTGTCGCCAAGATCCTCACCGATCGCTTCCTATTCACCGATCAGACAGGAACACCTAATGATCATCCCGAATCCGACACTGCAAAGGTATCCGAGTGACTACAGGACAAGGTATATTTCGGTGTCCCCAAACGTCCACGAATTCAGATCGACACAGTTCACACCGTGTGAATCCAGAAGCTCTTCTGACGTCAGGATATTGACCAGGTATCCAGAAACAGAATTGGAGAGAACAGAGTCACCTGGCCAACGATCCACGCCTAGGACACTCGACTACGTAGTCCAAACCTCGACAGACTCCATCCCAACGTCGGACGTCGGTTGTTCGTCCTCCCCGAAAGTTTCCACGGCCAGTCAGCCAGACTATGGCTCCCAATCACCCCGAAGTAGCTCCCACGAGGCTCGATCCAGGTGTTCCGAGATCGAGGACATCGAGGAGGAGGACGAGAACAGTCTGGTCGACGTGGAGGACCTGCAACATCATCACGGGACCAGTCCAACCCCGGTTAGACCAACACCGGCGTACATCGGTGGATTTTCCAGTCTGGGTAGTATCTCTGGCATCCCACCGAGCCTTCATCCAGCGGTTTGGGGCGGTGGACATCAAGGTGCGGCCGCAGCCGCAGCGGCGGCAGCTGCGGCCGCCACCGCTGGCTTCTTCCCCTCGCACTTCTCTCATCACGCGCCTCTAAACGGTGAGTACTTTGCTCTCTCACCCTCTCTCTCTCTCTCTCTCTCTCTCTCTCTCACTCTTTCTCTCTTTGTGGGCCATTCGATTTCCTCGTTTTTTCGCCGGTTCGCCGGAGCTATTTGCCATTTGCTTGGGCGACGACAACCGCGAGCTCGGTCTCGCCTTTGAGAAAGCCCCGTCTGGCCCACGGCCAATCGACGCAACGCGATCTTCGTCATGGGATTCTTTTCGTGGTTCCCGGCTCGGACACCGAAACTGGTCCGATTGTAAACTCGTTAAGACGACTGCAAACCCCGCCGGGCCAGGCTTGTGCCTGACCGTGAACGCGCGGTGTTTCGTTCAATGAAGCCGACGGCTTCGACATTCTTTGCTTTTCTCGTCCGCGGCCCCGGATATTTTTGGGATAACATTGGCCGGCACGCTTGAACGGAAGTCGGGTCGCCGTCTGATAGACCCCTGATCCTTTCCTCGTCTATTTTCGCATGGCGTCGAAGGGCGAGGCGAGGCATTTCCGTTGCAAGGACTTGCATTACTCTTTACAGTGGAACACAAGGTTCAGAGACAGCTATGGTCTTCCTTTTGTTTTCTAGTTCGTATCACGATTCGACTTTTGAATATTTTTTTTCTCCTGAGCATATTGTTGAATGGAAACCCTTTTGCGGATTGAAGTGGGGGTGAAATGGTTTTGTTTGTAATTCTCTATGTTATAGGAATTCAAAAGGGCTGAACCTACATATTCGTCTTAATCTTATGCAAGTATCAGTTCTCTTTTTTGGGAATCCTGCACAAGATGAGACCAGCTTAGAGTAGAATAAGTATACGAGTCAATATTAGCAAAGGAAACAACGGTTTCCGTTGGATCGTTCTGAAATTAATTAAAAGTTACATTACCTCGGAATTCCAGGCCAATTACACGCTAGAGGAGCGAGAAAAACATTTCCACGGGGGACAGATCATTGATCGTTCAGTAATATTTCAAATATTCTATTTAGAAAAGAACGCTCGATCGTAACGTGCGCGCGCTAATTGATAAATTGAGGCTCACTCGATCAACCGCGGCGGCGTTATTTGCAATTCAATTCGCGGCACGAAACCTACTCACCTAAAATCACCGGGAAAGGAATGCAGTTCTCGGAACTCGACGGATGACTCGTCGCGATTGAATCATCGTTAACACTAATTATTGAGGTCGCGGCTTGATAATTGCGGATGGGGGGCCTATCTCGTTAAAGAGGCAATCAAAGTTTTCTCGCTTCGTACGCGCGGAGGCAGGCTCGTCGCAACGAACAGAGGGCCGGTTCTTGTGCTGGGACCGTAAGGAATCCAGACGACAGAGACAATGGACGTTTATTGCAAAAAGGTGTTGCAATTGCCACGTCGAACGGAAAATCGATTTCGCCCGGACTCGCCAATAGCCTGTTCTCGGTCGTTCTACACACAATAGCCTATCATGGGCTCGTTATCCGCGGTAATTTCCAAACTGATGCCCCTTTTTTCTGAAAATTTTACCTATTCTTATTTTGAAACATGCTGTAAGCAATGCATCTCTATACTTAAAATATTTAATGGAGAATTTAAGGGTATTATGGTGGGGATAGTTGGACTGCGTGGTGGGAGAATAACTCTTACGTGGTCTTTAGTGTCTAGTGATTTTGTTTTAATTGTAGCGACGCTTGGAGACATCTGAAGATTAGCAAATTTTCTAAGTCACTTTATTTCATTTCAGTGAATCTTAAAATTTTTTAAATAACTCGTATAACCTTAAATTTTACATTTTTATGTATTCTGGTTAAAATAATGACGAACCAAGTATGCCATGTCTGAAATTTCACAAGAATAGTATTGAACGAGGGTTTATTTGATATTTTATTCTGTATCTACTTGTACTTAAGAGGTTATTTAATGCTGTGTTCTACCTATAAATATTTTATCTTTCAATTCAAAATTCTTTCACTTCTATACAAATGACAGTGGACGCATTTAGAATATTTTGCAATACACGATTCCGTTAGAGATTACTGTCCGTTTCAGGAAACGAGCACCATGATCGAACGTTAGCACGACCTTTTTATTGTCACAATGTGTAATATCGCTTTTCAACGTTGACTGTGTATCCCGGTATCAATTTATAGTTCATTGTTGGCCGACTATGCGGCAATTTAGGGAGCTCTGCGAACGGAATACAATCGACCATAATCGCTTACCGGCGAAACAGCCGGGAGGTTCGCCGGGACGAGTCATATGGGGGGGGGGGGGAAACGAGCGTAATTTTGAAATATGGCCTCTCGTGGAGGGTGCTCTCGCAGATTGTATAACCCTCCAAACTTTCCTCCGCCTCTCCATCTTGACTATTCTCAAAAAGGGGTAGAGAGTAGGGGTTCGTAGGGGTTGCGATAACAAACAGTCTCCAACCAGGCCAGTTATAACCCCATAAAAAGACTTCGTAAACATGGATTCTGGAAATATTCACCCTAATGAATACAATGATTAGTTTCATAAAAAAACAATAAATCCATAATTGAGATCCTTCGACGAGTCCTACATTGGATATCCCTTACGATTTGTCACGATACAAAGTTTTTACGTTAATCACGTTTAGCTGAGTCGGTCCAGGGATTTAAATTTCTATTAATCGCGTCGGTACATCCATGGCAGGCCGGTTCGTTATCGATCGTATTCGCTAATAAGAAGATATTAGAAATCGTGGCCCATGAAAACGTTACGTAACCGAACAAAGAGCGCTCCGATCGGGACGATTCCGGATTTCACCTTGCCTTTTTCTCCGTACAATCGGCACTGTTTTCGATATCTCAGCGGGATCAGCTAATTATTTCAGTAATTTGCATGATAATCGATCCGCGATGGGGGGCTAGCTTTTGTGCCGGGCAACCGCGATCCGCTTGCATAAATCAATGCATTCCAGTTCCCGGTGCATTCAATGCGATCCATTATCGAACAACCTGGAACAACTTCGGTGAAATTTTAGTCTCGACTGAAGTAATCTACAGCATTCGTATAGTATACGTATAATCTACTATACTATATCGCGCGAATAATCTCAATAGATACAAATTCTATTTTTAAATTCCAAGTCTCCAAATATTTGTCACATAGTGTAAAGAATAAATTTCTTTCATTGATTCCTACGGTTAGTCCCAGAGAGACCAAAGATTTCTTGAGATCGGTCCAAGTATCCTCCAAGCACATAATGGACCAAAGAGATACGAGAGATTCACCGTGAATCTAGCGATCAATTAAAGGAATGGAAGCGCTCGGTGACCAGGCCTCTCGATGCAATCGCGAGCGATCATTTACTAAACGCCCGACGTGGATTGTTACGCAACGGCCCACGTCGGAGGGATCTCTCCACCCGTGGATCCTCCTCCGCCCTGGATCATCTCTGCAGGCCGGTACGGTATCTCCGCGAGATCAGCTAATTATTTCGAATGCGCATTCCCCGATCGTCGAGCCGGATTAAAATCGACCTGGCCCGCGTTTTTGGTGGCCGCCGTGAGCCGTAGAGACCGTTCTAAAGGAAGAAGGAGAGAGAGAAAGATGGAGAGAAAAGGAGATCCTCGAATACCGAGACTAATTGGGACCCTTGGAGAGTCGAATAGCGAGAGAAAGCCGTATAGAGGGACAGAGATCGACGCACAAAGGACGATTCACCTCCGTCAGATAGGCTGTCTCGAAGTCGCAAAGCCTGCTCGCGAATCCTGAAGCAGGAAGAACGCGATTCCAAGGGGGAGGAAGGGGAGAGGAGGAGGTAGTCTCGGTGAAAATTTGAAATTCAGAAGCCGACGAGGAGAGAGGCCGCGAGATATCTCTGGCCTTTTGTCTCGGTCCCGGGATCTCTCGTTTCTAGAGCCGTTCACCTCAGCTCCTACAAATCTGTCAATTGTCTCGAGACAAATCTCGGGGAATATAACCGATATATTCCGACGCGGATCGCTCCCTGTCGTCAGTGTTCCGCTGTTTCGTGCCCCGATTGTTTCGACCCGTTGTATGACAAGCTTCTTGATTCTCCGAGACCGATTCGGGATCCTCGGGGGGATGATTTGGTTTGTCATCGAGAGGCCTGGTCGCAATTTGCATTGCTCCCTCGGCGATCGTGTCTTGACGTTTGCCGGCTTAGACGATTGATTTGCTATCGAGGTGTATTGAAAAGCTGTAGAATTGATTTGCTGACCGTAGATAGTGTTCGTTAGCTCTGGGCATTGGAATACAATTTTGAGGTATCATAGCCTTTATATTGGTATACGAAGAGTGGGTCTGCATTTTTTATTTGACGATCTGATCCTTTTGTGGACTAGGTACTCTTAACCTGAACCAAAACTTTCAATTATGCATGCATTACGGGGAGATGTAATCCCTCAAAAACCTCGAACAAGGCTCACGGAGGACTAAAAACTGAAGTATAATAAAAAGATAACATCCAAGATTAGAGTACAAATCTCCCACCTCCCGTCACTTACCATATTTTCTCGGTATACTTAAGCGATTCCGTATCACAACAAGAACGATCTCATAAAAAGCTCGAACACAATACAGCGTCCTCAGCGATTTTTCGTTGTTAATTCGTGCAAAACGTCTCATAAGAGGCCAGGCAACATCGCAAGTAATTGTTCGAGTGATGCAACCGAGTAGTAAGTGCTCAGAACGGCTAGAAAATCATAGCCTGGCAGGGACGAATTATTTAGCGACCGCGTAAACGGTCCACGGACTATTATAACGTACTACACCTATCTCTCTGGGTACGACGTATCCTCGCTAATGAGTACACGCGGTAGCGTTAGGGAGAACGGTTCGCCAGCGGCGGCAGGAATCCTCTTGCGGTCGCCCAGCAAAAAAGGTAATGAGGCCAGTTTGCGGCGCCGTTCCGATGGGGGAAAATTATGAATTGACTCATGAGAAAAAAGAAGTCAGTCCCCAGCCGTGCACCCTGCCGGTTTCTGGGCGATCGTGCAAAAACAGGACGTTTGCGGTCGGGATTCGCCTCTCTGGCTCGACTTGTCTAGCTCCCTTCCTCCCCCACACCGCGTAACCTGCTCACGGAAAGCAGAGCGATACGCCTCGAGTGTGAACCCGTCCGCTTTCGATTTGCAGAGAACGGGGAACCGGCCAAGATCAAGTGCAACCTGAGGAAACACAAGCCGAACCGGAAGCCGAGGACACCTTTCACCACGCAACAGTTGCTCGCGCTCGAGAAGAAGTTCACGGAAAGGCAATACCTCAGCGTCGCAGAGAGGGCGGAGTTCTCGTCGTCCCTTCATCTGACAGAGACACAGGTGAGAGTCTTTCGCGTGCCTTACCTCTGATATGATCTTTCTACTTTGTGTAAGATCGGTTGGGTATCGCTCGAAGTGGAAATTTGGAGATGTTGTTTAGGTCTGTTGGGATTAGAAATTATATTGTAGCGGGGTAACATATTCTGGTCGAGTAATCAGTACGATTAGAATGCGCTTAGTGGGCTTGCACGTGAGCCTTGTACTTTCTACAAAAGAACGTAAAATTGAGTATTTGGGTTCTTCAAGATTTAGTAGGACCTTCAAGGTACTTTGCCTCTGAATTATGAAAGTCCCAACATATAGATTGCTAGTATACAGATTGGTTTTATTACGCTTCATTAATTCAATAAGAGAAGTTATTACTAGATTACGGATTGATTACAAAAATCATTTCGTTCAGTTTTCTCGTCTCGATCCAGAGCCAGCCGGGCAAGTTTCACAACAGCACGAAACCAAAGGCCCCTGCGACGGTGGTTTATCGTCGACCGAGGTTCTCGACGGTGTCGGAGAGAATCCTCCAGAATTACGTTTTACGATCAACGTTTCTCATTTAGCCGCCGCAGCGTTAACCGACTGCTCTCCGGGCCCCGGATTCTCTCTCCTTTATTCTTCACCGCTTGGCCTCACGAGCTCGAAGAAGGGGTCCCGCACTTAACAGATCTCGCCAGATGCGGGGTAATTAGCGCGCGTAAGCGTGCGGTGGCATCCCCGCTGCCCGCGTCTGGCGAAGAAACACGGTAATTTTATTAATAGACTACAAATTGCCTGAAACCCCGGCCGACAATGGTCCGCGATGACCGGACCAATTACCTGCCGGCTGGCTCCACGGGTGTACAATTTTCGTCCGCGTGTCCGTCAACGGGGCGATTCGTTTAAAGTTACCATTGCCGCGAACTAGACGCGCCTAGCGTATTAACTCTTGGCAAATTCGTTCTGTGACGGTTTGGACGATACGTGCTGGCTACGAGACACTTGACGGAATCGTCCGAGAAGCTTTTGTGTAGACGAGGCACGATAAATTGACTGTAAGTCGTGATGATGGTCAAGGAAATGGGATAAAGTTATTTGGAAATTGGAACTGATTTGGTTTGGACACGTGATCTTCTGTTTAGATGCTACTTTTAGGATCCATGTAGAGTACAGATAGTTTATTTTTGGTCATTATGGAGCATCAAGTAGGTATCATCTGGCTCCAAATTTTACTTAGAATTAATAAACTATTTGGTCTATAATTCGTTAAATTGAGAAAATCGAAGTGGACATGAAACTAGAATAGAGACGAATATTTCACTACCGTTCACGTTTTGCTCCGAGGTCAGTTCTCCTCGATCCACTTTGTCTCGTTGTAACAAGGTCTTCGCAACAAAATCCGTGATCACGAACAGCTTCGATTTCCTCTTCGTGCCGTCAGCCACGAAACCGCAACCTCAACAAAGTATATCCGTAATCTTGGCCGGTAGCCCTGGGTAGAGTACAAATCCGAACTGTCTTGTTTGTTGCAGGTGAAGATCTGGTTTCAAAATCGTCGGGCGAAGGCGAAGCGAATGCAGGAAGCCGAGATCGAGAAATTGAGGATGTCAGCGGTCAGGCAACATCACACGGCGCTCTACGGTTCTCATCCGGGTCTTCTGGCCCCGGCAAGCTTATACCCGGTCGGAATGCTGTCTCATCCAGGTCTGACGTCGCATCATACGATCTCTCAGCACCCGTCCAGAGAATGAAGATAGTCGGGGGAGCCGCCGCGTGACCGGTAGTGAACCGAACGGATCCCTTCCAAGGAGAAGATTTCCCTACGAAACATTGCTCGTCGATTGAGCAATCGGTTGACCGAGGCTGTGCCTGTGAATGGGACGAAAATGTAGACGGAGGATCCGAATAGGATGGAACATGTCGAAGACCAACTGGAGCAAAGTTGACTGTATCGGATGGAGGATTTGAGTGAAGAGGATTCTGTGAAAGGGTTGAAATTTCAGAGGAATAATTTCACAACCAAAGGTTGTTTTTAAATGTTGTTGGCGAGCAAACCGAGGCTGCGCTTGGGAAATGGGTGAAACTGTGGACGTAGGATTGGAAGGGGATGGAACATGTCGAAGATCAACTGGACCAAAGTCGGCTGTCCAGATGGAGGATTTGGGTGAAGGTAGTTCCGTGGGAGGGTTGAATCTGCGGAAGAATAATTTTTGTTTGAAAGGTTGTTTTTGAGTGTTGTCGATGTGCAGTTGATCGACTGAGGCTGTGTCTAAAAGGGGGACTAATGAAAAATGTCTAATAAAGATTGAGGATGGGATGGTGTGAGAGTTGCATCAAAATAATCTAAGACTGTTTGGGATCTGATCTCTTTAAAGGGGTAATTTTACTTTGAAGCGTTGTTCTGTGGTGAATCGGAATGGATCGAACAAGATTAACTAGATCGGTTGAAGCGAATAACACTACGTAGTGTGGATAAGTGTGGATCCCACTGATAAGAAGATGGACCGAAGTGAAACACATCGACGAATCCAAGTGGAAAGGAACCAAAGTTACCTACGTAGACAGGGAATCCCGCGAGTTCCGATAGGAACTCGGTTGTCAAAGGTTCCAAGACATCAATTCGAGTTCTCATTTTCCTGTCGAGCCACAGGGGAAATTTCGTAGGAATCGGATGCTCTCTCTAATCGTAGACGGAAGAATGGTCTGACGCTTCTCCTGAGAAGCCGGGAATCGTGAATCTGTGCCAATTATACCTGTAAAAAGTGTGTAAATATAGTCGTTTTCGAACTGAAAGCGAAAACGTTGTCCTGTAAATATGAGACTCGGGCGTGAAACGAGCGTAGCCATAAGTCTGGTGATCGGTGGATTGAAGCTACCCAGCCGTTTTCCAATTTTGTATAAATGTAAACACTGTCCGCGAGAGAGTAGAAGAGTCTATTTAATAAATCGCAATACCGTATCCCAGCTCGTTGATTCTCACCGCCAAGAAACCCGACTCCCCCTCCACCCTGCCCCCCCACGTGGATCTTTGCGAAGATCCACGAAAAATAAACTATCGTCCTACGAAATTCAACAACGGTCAATTCTGGTCCCTCTAGAAAGTTACCGTCGAGTGAACCGAGGTCTGGTTACATCGGGTGCTTAATTCAAGCCCCCGCTATAAGTCGTGTTAATTGCCCGCGTGTCACCGGATAATAGGAGTCGACGAGGAATCGCGGGACGTTTCGCTAATTGAAAAGCTTGATGTTGATTCATCACCCCTCGGGGCTGGACATCGTTTCCGTATTGGCCCTGCGATTAGAAAGTCGGAATAAATTATACCCGCGGCAATTAAACGATTCGATGATCCCTGTGACTTGATCGTCGATAAATCGAACGAATTTATTTGATCGTTTTGCGGCTAATAATCCGCTTTAACGTCCGAGCGAAGCCACGGATTTATGATCCTTGAACTGACGAACCTACTAGTTTCGAATTCGACGGGACCAAAGATAGCAGATTTTTTGATTAATTTTTCGATAGAGTAGAACTATTTTGACATCTGGATAGCTCTTATCAAGATAATATACTGGCCTTCAAGTACGATCGCTTTTTTCCACCACAGGCTCGCTTCGTAGCTATGAATGGAAACATTTCTGTATCTATGTTTACGTAACATTTTTAGCTGTTTAGCATAAATGAGGTGTACTTCAGTCTGGCCTTACGTCACTGCTCTTAACAACTGATGAATCGGAATCTTCTACATTCATCCAAATCTTTGCTTAAGCCGACATGATTGGTCTGGTGTGTGAATCGTATGAATATGTTTTTAGATACTATTCTAGTCAATTCAATATTCAATGACCGGCACATAATTTATACACATTTTTATCAACTATTTAGAATCAATTATATCATAATCAATCTGGAATTAACTAATCACTTCTCGATTCAGGAACGATTTTACAGTTTATCGGTTATATCAATATTCAAGTGATACGTTACACTCGGTAATCTATAGTCCGAGAGTCAATATATAATCACTCTAAATTTTGTGAATATGTGTAGAAGATATTAGTCAATTTAAAATTCAAGAGATAGACCAAACTTCATTATGCTATTCTACAAAGTTCAAGAACCACATTATCAGGGAACCTATATTCTAATGAGCAGTCTACACTTTGAGAGTCTACATTTAATTCAGTAACGTCGAGTTCAACACCGAATCTTTCATATAAAAACCATCCTACGGTCTATCAAACAAACCAGAGTTTAGGAACCAGTCTACTATTCTGTAATCATTCTACAGTTCAAGAGCTTAAGTCGACCTCGGCAGTATCATCCGTATAACCAATCCACATTTTCAATCTACACTTCATGAATTAATCTACAGTTCACCATCTAATCTGCATTTCAAAAACATAACTATAATTTATCAATTAATTCAGAATTTAATAATTGAACCGGTTCTGTAGTTATTCCACAGTTCAAGAGCCTATGTCGATCTCGTAAGTAAATCTACTTTACAGTTTGAGTCCACATTTCATAAATTAGTCTACACTTCACCGTATAATCTGTATTTCAAGAACATAGCTACAATCTATTAATTAATTCGCAATTGAAGACCCGAACTAGTTTCATAATTATTCCACAATCCAAGAGCCTAGATCGATCTCATAAGTAAACCACCAACGGCACACCTGCTATTCCACATTTCAAGAATCAAATATTCCACCGTCGACGACCTGATCCGTCGTTCCAGAACCAGTCCACAGTTTTCCCAATTAGTTTCTATCTGTAGAACGAATCTACAATCAAACAATCATTCTACATTTCAAGACCTCGTATTTTCACCACGCTACTAAATCCACATATCAACAACTGATCCACCGTTCACGAACCAGTTCCCCGGTTCATCGAGCATTCTACGACAGAAGGGTCTACGCTAGACCGGTAGAAACATCTCATAAATATTCCGTGTAGATACCCCCAAAAAGGAGGAAGTCGAAAGGGAACTCGCAATTGAAAGCACCACGAGTAGTCCCATGGACGGGTTACCGTTCGACGGGCACGAAGGTCTGATGGCAATCGGATGCCACGGGGTGAACATCCCCCTTCCCCCTTCCTTCACCCTTCCTCCTCCCCCTCTACCCTTTCGGTGGCACTCTCGCGTCTCGCGATTACGTCGCGACGATTACGCGGTAGCCGAGAATGGCGTCTCTGTGCGTACATGTCGCGGGAATAAATTAGCCGTGGCAATTAGTTTCGGAATCGACCCGCCCCGGGCGGCCGGCGCCACCATCTTGATTGCACCCGTGGAGAACCTTTAAAGACAGTAGCCAGCACTGTTTGCCGAAAGGCTCGAGCGCCGTTCGCGCGGCCTAATTAGCGATGCCCACCGAGATATCGCCGACGTACGCTAATAATACCGAGCATAAATATTCCGAATTTTTTCGTCTGGTGGCCCGTACCCGCTCCTCGAACCTCACCCCCCTGCTCCTCCTTTTTCTACCCTATTCTACTACGCCCTTTTCCTCTTTGCGCGCGCTTCTTCTCTCGATCGTTTGCTAATATCTTATTGTTATTATCTTATCGTACAGAGTGTTTCTAGAACGTGATTTCAGAGCGAAAGACTCTTGTAATTAGTTAGATTCTGTTCGTTGTCATCGCAACACCGAATGGAGAATTTAAGGAGCTGAAGGATGAAGTGTATATAACTAATGAAATGTGGGCTTGGATTATTTCTTCCATCTGGGTGAGCACACACTTTCTTCATTTGTTGAATCAGTCTGGTTGAGTGGAAGTATTAGTTGTTCAATTCTCGGCTTGCTGGCGTTCATTCCTTTGATGGTTCAATTTTTCGAGTTCTTTTACGACCACCATCTCTGTGCCCTTTTTAACCGGCTCCCTATTCTATTGCCCCACTACCAGCACCCTAATCAGACCCGTTCACCCCTATCTCGACGTTAAACGCGGATTGTCCCTGCTAATCGAGTAGTTAAATGTCTTTCATGATTTGTGGGGTCTGATTGGCTCGACTTCTTCCAAGAAAGATAATCTACAATCGACACAATGAATCAAAATTATAAACTCCGAAGAAATAAGGGACTAAAATTTCATTAGGAGGTATTCTAAAAAATGACTATTTAGATATAGCAAGTTCCTTCTGTTCCTGCTTCAAGACTTCTCAAACACAAATTCAATTAATAAACATCAGTCTCTGTAGTTCTTGAACAATCGTTCCTTCCTCTATTTCTAATTATTCCTCTTTCTAATTGTAGAACGAACAATCTGCTCCACAATTGTGTCATCGTCTATTTACAGAATTTCAAACTCCAAATTCAAGACTTCATTTCTCCTTCACATATTTTTTCTTGGTCCTGAGACGGAGCCGTCAGAAAGTTCTTTCGATTAAGAGGCAATGGTCCATCAAAGGAGGGTCGCGGCCCGGACATTTTAATTTCTCCGTTTGATGAACGAGGAACACGAGCGCCTATATCGTCGTCCTTATCGAAATTACCTCGGTCCCTCGGCTTCCCAGCCAGTCATCCTGCCGGGCTTTCCGCTCGGTACGCTTGAATTTTAATCGCGTAATTAGTCGCCGGTCACTAGAGATTGCCTGGGTTACCTGTTTTGCTCACTGTTTCATGTAACCAGATAACATCAATCAGATGATATCGTCTAGGCTACCGGTTCGCCTTGTTAGCCCTAACTGCGGCCCACGACCGAGTAGCGCCACGAATCATCCGTTCAGGTTAATGCCGCATTATCT